CTTCCTATTCAATAGCAAAACCACTATGTTCAAAATCATTATGTTTAGGTAATAGTTGATTAAATTTGATAGGAGGAGGACATAAATTTGCAGCTGTAAGATGATGACAGGTAGGACCCATCATTGACTGGAGGCAGGAAATGTATTAATGGCTTCACTTTTTTGATGCCTGCTCTTTAAAATCATTTGTTATTATTCTGCTAATGAGGGATTATCATCATCTTCTTCACCATTGATACAGTCATCAGCTTTTAACAGGGTCATCTTGTTAAAGAAAATACATTTTTGTTAGTTTAAAGTGTGTTTTTTGTTGTTCCTACTTCTTCATCTCTCAATACAAAGGATTTTGCTATAATTGTCTCTAACATGATATGTTTGTTTTTGTTTGTTTTGTGAGTTGAAGCTATGTTTGTATCAAGGGATTTGGGGATTTTCTGGCCTTATTAAGTGGATAAGAGCAAAGGAGAAAAGATAATTGGTGAAGTATGAATAAAACTGAGGCCCGTCCTTTTCATTTCTTGTAAATAAACACTTATTTTATTCCACTTCAGTAACTTCCAGCTAAAGGTTAAATTTCTCAGCAGTTAAGGACTGTGTGCTAATAAACTCTTCACCTGTTTCAAAGGACGATGTGGTCCAAGACTTGATTTAGAATGATATTTCACATTTTATCGGTTTGTAGGCTTTCTACCTATAGAACAATCTTTAAGTAAATGTGCATTCAAAGTGTGAGGGAGTTTCTGGATGGGGTTGTGAGATGTGCGATGTAGGAGGCACAGTTTGGTGCCATTAACAGGTGCACAAAGGAGGCGAGAAATTCCCCCTCCTGTGCTCCTGTGCGTGCTCACACACGTGCTCACTGGTTTGTTCGTGACTTGGGATAGAATGATCTGTTAACAGTGTGAAATCAGTAACATTAGACTTTAGCTGCTGGATAAAAAGGCTGGAAACCTCAAGTAAATAGTTTGTTTCTGCAGTTTTAAAGTTTCACAAGAATATCTTTAAGAGTTTTTTTAGTAAAAGAGCCTTTATCCTGCAAAATCCACTCAAAGCTTTAAACTGTGTCTAATGTTCTTCCTTCATCAGAATAAAACACTTAGTGATATTTATTTGATTCCTGCATCTCTGATTAATCCTTATTAGCACTGCTGTGTGAGATTCAGCCCCTCCCTGACGTGTAGAAACAAGCAGATGGAGAATATTGACAGAAGAAGGCTTCCTCCAGGAAGCGGCAAGCTTAACCGAGCTGCACCTGCACTGTTGACCAATGGCCACCTTCTCTGATCAGGGAGGGGTGATGTGAGGTAGATCTTCATGATTCAGATGAACAGACTCTACTAGCAGCTGATGTACACAAAGCAGCAGCCTCTGTTTTGTATGATACAGCAATTGGGTGAAATTGAAATGAAAATAAAGTTGTCTCTGTAAAAAGATTCAATTCAGTTTATTTATGTAGCCACAAATCACAACTAGTGTCATACAGCCAAATTGATTCAAAGTTTTCTATCTAAGGAAAACCAGTTGATTGCATTGACCTGTAGACTCAAATGCAATCCCTCACACTAAGCATTTTG